CATACACAGCTATGCATGAGGACTGAGAAGACAGTTCTCTCTTCTTCCTCACTGGGGCCAGGGGGCAGAACCTCCGTTCCTCTCCACCTCACTGAGGATGGCCCAGTGCCCTGTGGGACCTGCCTTCTTTATCTATTTGGAAAAAGCTACCTCAGCCTACAGTGAGTGAAAAGCTTGCCACCGAAGCCTGATTTGTAAAATAGGGCCTAAGAGCATAGAGGCCCAATTGCCCAGGAAGCAAAAATCTCCCAGTACATAGACAGGGAGATGCTGGGGACACATCTCACACTTGGATGACTCTGGTGATTCCTCAAGGCCATCCCAACACACATTTTTTTTGGTACTCGGAATTGAATTCAGGGACTCACACTTGCTAGGCAGACATTGTATCACTGAGCTACATTCCAGGCCCCTAACACACACTTGTACTGAAGCCCTGGAGCTGTATTTCCCTGGCTCAAAGGCATAAAGTGTCTATAAGAAAACTTGGTAGCCACCCAGACAGCACTGCCCCTCCCCTATGGCATAGGCTCCTAGCATCCAGAGCTGGGGACCTGTCCTCCAGGGGACTGCCTGTCCTCCTGAGATCACCCAGGAGCACTGGGACAGCAGAGGAAGCAAGAGACTGACAAAATAGGTCTCACTCAGCCCCACATGAGCCTTGGAGGCACAATCCAGTTCAAAGGGAGCTGCTTAGCCTTACACTGAGAGGTTTACAATGATATATGTCTGTAAGAGATAAACATTAGGAAGAATGCTGAGGATAGTACAGCATGCCTATAATCCCAGCACTCTGGGAGGATGAGGCAGGAGGATTCCAAGTTTGAGCCCAGCCTGCATAACTTAGCAACTTAGTGAGACCCTGTCTCAAAATAAAAAAAAATTTCAAAAGGGGTGGGAGTGTAGCTTAGTGTAAATGCCCTGGATTCAACCTCCAATACCACAAAAACAAACAAAAAAAGCCATCAGTAAGAATGAATGGGGTGGGACGGACATGACCTTGGGAGATACCTTTAAATCTAAGAGTAGTCTCTATTCACCTCACTGCCCCAGAGCAAGGCGGGGCAGCCCACTCCACTTCTTTCCGAATTCTCACAGCTACTCCATGCATGGTGTTGCCTTCATTTCATACAGGAAGAATCTAAGACTCAGAAAGGTACATTAACACATGCCAACACACACAGCAGAGTCAAACTAGACTTCCATAAGTCCTGAGTCTTAACTCTCCACTAGGGAATACACCTATCACGGTGACCCCATCTGGAATTTTCTGGGTACTCTGCAGTGAGGAGAGCTAAGGCCTAGTAAGAGCCAGTGTGCACATTGGGTAGGGGTAACTGCTGGCATCTTGGCTGTACGGACCTCCCAGATGTCAGGTTTCAAAAGCCACAGGGCCTTAAAATTGAGACACCTTGTAAAGAGATGACCACACACTCAGCAAGGACAAGCAATCCTGGCAGAGAGACCAGGGAAACCACAGCATCAGGACTTGCAGTCAGAGCACACCCTCACTCTGCAAAATGAAACATGGCCTCACGACCAACACAATTCTGCCCAGCGCACAGGATGCTAGGGACTCTTCCAGTTAGTAATCTCCACTTCTCTTGCTAAGCAGCTGATTGAAACATGGTATTCCCGCCCACATGGCATCTCCTAGCCCTGTCTGTAAAAGGCCTATCTTTTCAACCCTAAAATTCACCAGCACCAAGTACATCCAGAGTGGGCATAGGAAAGGACTACAGGGATGCAGTCACAGGAATTGCTATGACTCCTCCAAAGACCTATCCAATGCCACCATATCTACAACCAAGAAGCAAAGACAGCAGCCCTGGTTCCAAGGGCAAAAGTACATGGGCAACCAGGTTTTTTTCCAGGCATGGCTCAGCTGTAGATGAACCCTCTTCAATCATACAGGCTTCCAATCACATAGCACTTGCTGCTTCTCTTCACCTCCTATACCATCTCTACACTAAAGCAGGCGTTGGGTTCAGCTACAAACAACTGTTTTCAATCATGTCTCTGAAATACAATAGTATGAAATACAAAGAGCTGTAACCAAAACAAATCAAATATAAAGGTTTTACAAAGCACTTCCCAGGGGCAGCTCAGGAAGGAGTTTTATGCCTAGCTTGACCCTAAGGAAAATATGAGAGAGAAAAATGACATAGGACAGCAGATGAGCAGATGCTAAAAAGCACAACACAGCCACAGTCCCACTGGAGGAAGTCTCAGGAGGAAGTGAAAATTCACTCAGGCTATCTAGAAAGAACTTCAATGGTAGCACTGGGCCCTGAGTTGGCCCCTGAGACAAGAGGGCAAGGGTTTAGGGGCACAGGGCATAGTTGGTAGTGCGTCCCAAGCTGGGTTCTGAAGATGTGCGTGGGGGGCAGCCACAGACCACAGATTTAAATCAGTCAAGCAGCTCTTGGATGTGGGATGTGCTTGTATCTGTGCTCCAGCCACACATACAACCTTGTCTGTCAACATCTTTAGAAAACTCTAGAAATCCCTCCAGTAACTGGTTGACCTGCTTGGGGGGTTGGGGCAGGGCCACATGGTCTGCATTTAGCACTCTCCCCTGAGTCTGAAACAGCAGTTTCCTGGAAGGTTTCTTAGGAGATTTTCCCCCTTAATTCTTTCCAGCCAGCTCCCATTCCAGTGTCTGAAAGTTCTTGGGCTCAATAAACACCAATAAAGTGCAAGGCAGGAAATTCTGCAGCAGGTCACTGTTAAAAGTTAAATTTAAGATTAATAAAAGGATACCTGGCAGATAATCCTAAACTATTATATGTGCTGCAAAGCGAGCACAATAATCCTAAACTATTAAGTCAGGGTTTAAAGATCTTTACACATGAATCAACATCCTGTTTATCTCCCATCATGTAATTAATGGCCTCCCACTGTGAACATCCCTTCCCCTCCACCCTCCTCCTCAAATTCCTCGCTCAGGATTTAATTATTGGAGAAGCCTCTCCTGGGACATTCTTTCATCAGAAGTTGGAGGAGGGCGGTGAGAAGACAAAATTTTATACATTTTCTCACTTGCAGTGGAATACTCTAGTAACATGACTAATATGAATTAGCATTACTCTTTCTAGTAATTTATCTGTGACTAAAACTAACCTTTATTTACTATCAACTATTTTGTGAGACAGAGACCATAAATGATGCATTACTTTCATGTTCTGAATTTTGATTTTACAATTTGGAAATGAAATGTGATTAAATGGCTAAATTTAAAAAACAATTACAACAGAGATATATTATGACAGATTGGTCACACACACACACACACAAGGATCTCTATTACAAAAAGGAATAATTTTTAGAATAGTCTTAAAAGACAGCAAAATATAGGGATGAATCGACTTAACTGTGCAATGGGCTCTGAATCCACTGCTCCAGTGTTGAATATCAACAGCCCTTGCTTCAAAAGACCCCAATAGACAGGAACAATTTAGAATCTGATTTGTCTTTTTTTTTTTTTGGTACTGGGGATTGAACTCAGGACCTCACTCCCACTTGCCAGGTAGGTGTTGTGCTGCACAGCTACATCCCCAGCCCTAAAATCTGATTTAATATACAAAACAGGGACGTCTAAGTACAAAGGGCAAGTGAATGATCACTAAGACCTACTCTTTAAAAAGAAAGCCAACAGTAAAACATACACGCACACCATATAAGAAAAATTACAGCCAATAAAAATCTATTTCTATCCTAGAGATGACTGTTATTTTCTGGGAGGTCAATTCTCTAATAAAAGACTTGAGTCAAATGAGCAATGGGAACAGCTGAGGGTAGGACAGGGTGGGGAGACGGACCTGCTGTGGCAACTCAAACCCTGATTTCTGCTCACGATGATTTATTTTGTGGCAACTCAAAGAGTTCTCATTTCTTTTTTTCTTTTTTTTTTTTTGGTACCGGGGATCGAACTCAGGACCTTGCGCTTGCACAGCAAGCGGCGAAATCACTGAGCTAAATCCCCGGCCCTCTCAATTCTTGATCATAAGGTCAAGCCACACACCAAGAACTGTCTCTGTCAGTCTTCTAGAAGTGAAATGCGCTTCTAATCTTTCTGGAGTCTCCTGCACAGTAAATATCAGGCTGACAAGGCACAAATTCAAGTGCAACTACATAGGCACAGCTGAAAGACCCGCCAAAGTTAGTATAAGGCTTGTGAACTGCCTAGGGAAGAAAAAAAATAAAAGGTAAGAACTCTTACTCAGACCTTTTTTTGAGTTTCAATCTTGTAAGGTCCCGAGATACTTTTCCTTGGCCACACAACTCTTGTAAAAGTAATAACCAAGATAATTTGATACCACCTGCGCAATAGTATGACCATTTAATTTGATGAAATACAAGCTGCAAACTGACCTGGAAATTTCTACACTTTTGCAAGGGCAGTGGAAATAGTAAGCTACGTAGAAAGGAGACTGAAAAAAGTTTCCTACCTGCCGTCCCCACCCCTAAGCCATCCCCTAATTTGAGCAACATTCTTTTTGAAAAAAATCTTACTATGGAATTGCACCTTCTAAGAGCTGCGGAGCTGGTGCGTGTTATAGATGAGAAGGTGAAACCGTCAATTCTCTAAATGCAAGTCACTGGCAAAAGAAGGCCACTGTGTCAATCCCTATGCCTACGTTAATTTATATGTCTGGAATGTGGAAAGAGATGAAATGGTTCTCCGTTTTCAAAGCCAGCAAGTACGCTGGATCGTATAACAGATATTCACACACCCTGGGCGTAAGAATCCAAGGAGAAAAAGAAAGTACTGACTTCCCGGGTACGGGTAACCTCCTCCTCCTTCACCGAAGAGCAGGGAAGGCTCGGAAGACAGGCGCCCCCGGCGAAGCGACAGGGTGTCCCCGAGGCAGGTGGGCGCTGGGGCGCCAACCTCTCCTCCGGCCCAGGACGCAGGCCGTGGAGCGCGGGATTCGGACCCCGCAGCAGGACGCGGCCAGGACGACTTAGAACCCCTGGCTGGCCCACATGGCCCTCACCTTGTCGGAGTCCAGGTCCGGGTCGGCCTGGCACAAGCGGTACAGGAAGGACTTCGGGTCCCGGCACAGCGTCTGCCGGGTGGTGAGGAAGTAGGTGCCGCCTACGTTGAGCCGGACCCACTTGGACACGCCGCCGGGGCGCTGGGCTAGGGCGCAGAGTCCAGCGCTGCAGCGGCGGCATAAGCCGCCCCCCAGCCCCGCCCCGAGACCGCCTGGGGCAGGCGGCTGCTGCTCGCAGTGATTATCCGCCATGATCCCGGCAAGCCCCGCCACAGCAACCCTCCACTGGAAGCGTCCGGTCTTTAATAGTGTCCTCCGTGCTGTCCCGCCCACAGGTCCGCCCTAGTAAAGTGGCCGCCCCGGCGTCACGCGGGGCTCGGAAGTTCCGGTCCGGAAAGGCGACCGACTGTGCCCCCTTCCGGCCGGAGAGAGCTTGAGTTTCGCCCCCGCCCAAGGAGGAGCCAGGCCCACGAACAGGTAACACACTACATGCTTTTATTACAAGATTACCGAGCATAGGAGTGGAATTCATCATTCGGTAACTACACCTAAAGCACAGATATTTGAAAAAAGAGAATAAAACAGATTCATTAAATTATGATATGATTAAACCATGACCAAATAGAAAATTTATATAATAAAGCCAGAAAAAAAGTTGTAAAATATAGTTTACAATAATTATTCACATTCAAGGCTGTACATCAATACATACAACAGCGTGGCCCCGAACATGAATTCAATCCAAATAATTCATATATTAGAATTTAAATAACACAGACTGAACTAGAGGCCAACAATAGCCAGCAAATAACATTATATAAGAATAAAAATACAAAAGTGTATATCCTAGTATCATTGCATTATTTGTTTTCATAAGTTTTTTTTTTAATTTTTGCTTTGCCTGTACATCACAGTTACAGCTACAGACCAGGCAGAGAATATTACACTTGTTCTGACTGCCACCAACCTGAAGAACAGCAACACACTATTGATTTGTCCTATTTAATGTGGTTACGGAACAGCTGCAGCAGTTCTAAATACTGTAATATTTAATTTGTCAACGTCCAAACTATGGTCGAAATAGAGGCGTTCACCTACACAGTGACCTACACATAGTCATTCAGCCAGACAGACTAGGGTGGGCTACAGAGGTTAAAAAGATTTGCCTTTTGTACAAAGTTCTCTGGACAGAGTTTGGAGTTTCTTCATATTGAAGAAATGAGTTACAGGGAAAATTAAGGTATTCACATGGCTCATTCATTTGCTCACCATGACCACCTCAGCAATGATAAAACTGTTCTTTGATGGAAACACCTTCCTTCCCAGACCAATTCTTCACAGGCAAACTGATTTACAACCATGCAGTCTTGAGCCAGTGGCCAGCACCCCTCAAGAGGCTCTGGAAGTGGCTCCAGCCTGATTCAAGGGCACCTGCCATACATATGTTCTGCCTAAGAAAGACCCAGGCTCATTTGAGTCACCATCAGTTCATATTAGGTTGCAATGAAACAAAATGGAAAAAGGTATAAAAAGACATCTTCTAGAACACAGTACCTTTACCATATTCTCACAGAAGCTGCAACCACTCAAGATTTAGCAATGAGCACCCTGGATCTGTGGACCAGCCAAAGGTCCAGAGGAGAGGCACCTGAGGACAGCCAGCCCAGTCCTGCACAATTCAGCCATAAGCTCTGGTAGACTCAAGTGGCACTGAGCATGGCACCCATAAAATCCCTCATGCATATCTCCCTTCAGAATCAATGGATCACAACCAACCTGGAGATACAAGAATCAACCAAATTTGGGTGGTCTGGACTTAAAGACCATAACCTACACTGAAGCACTGTGGGCAGGAAGGAGGGAAAAAGCCTTACCACCTGTGCCAGCTGGGTCACCCACACTCTACATTAAAGAGGCCTGGCCACTTTGCTGTCCCAAACCACAAAGACCTTCTGATAGCGGGAAGGGAATAAACATAAATACACATCTGTAAAACCCAATCATCTACATGGTTTCTTTTTCAATGAGAGCCTTTGCTCTGTTACCAATCCCAAATGGCCCAATGTACTTTCTAAATCTATAAACTTAATTACAAATCACCCACTAAGCATGTGGCAAGGTCAGTTCAACACGTATCTCTGACTGCAGAAGGGGATTCAGTACCATTGTGGACACAAAGTACAAGATTCTGAAAACATCACCAAGAACTTGGAAGCCACAGCAGCAGAGATGGAAGAGAACATGCACTCATGATCAGATTCTTGCAATGAAAATAAGGAAACTGGCTCCTGTAAAAATCTGTCACAAATGGATCTGCAGTAATGATACCATTGTGGTATTAAAAAAAAAAAAAAGATCGGTCACATTCAAACACGTTTTGTGACACACAGCTTAATAGAAACTGATTTGTTCAGAATCTGTAGGACACTGAGAAGTAGGTTCTATTACTGTAACTTAGAGAATCTAAGCATCAGACCAAGAGGGAAGAGTATCAGTGAAATGAACAAAGTCTTTCACCCAAAAATACCACTTGCAGGCATTTAAGGGGGAATAAAGATATTCATCACAGCATTATTTATATAGTGAAAAACCAGAAACCATCTAAATGTTTTACAACAGAAAAATGGTCAGATAAATTATCATAAAATTTACAAGCCTTAGACTCTACAATCATTAAAATCATGCTTTCGAAGAACTGTTCATGACATGGGAAAATGCTTAGGATGAACTATCAAATGAAAACGCTGGATGCAAAATGGCGTATATGTTCCCAGTTTAGTTACAAAAGCAAACAAATGCTAGGGTGAAGGGGTGTGGACAGGTTCTGGACCAAAATGCCCACAGTGTTCTCTGGGTGGTAAGCCTACAGTTGACTTCTTTTTCAGAAGACCAATGTTACTTTTAAGAAGGTACAAAGTCACTGGGAACCTCTTAACTGGCACCCTGAGTGTCTATGCCATGGGGCTGTCTACACAATCCCTTCAGGCATGGACCCAACTACCACAGTACAACCCAAGAGAGCTGGAGGTGAAATTCCTGACAGCTTTGGCCTGACATGAGCCATCTTTCTCAAATTAAACTTTTAACAGGTTCAGAATGGGTAGCCACTTTCAGGGGTAAAGAGGCTCAGAGGTCCATACAGGGTTGCCTGCTGCCCTTGGTGGGGTCATAGAAAAAGGGTGAAAAAAACCCATCCAAACTCAGCCTTCTGTGTCCCCAGGGAAAGGCAGAGCACAGTGAGCTCTCTGAGCTGTCAATGACCACATCTCCTGGCCCTCTATGTCAGGAGAGGCTACAGAGGGGGTACTCATGGTATTTATGCTTGTCCTTTCCCTTTCTTAGTAGGACACGTGACTCCTGGAGCTATTAAATAAGAGGACATTACTTTCTCACCCTGGACAGGTCCCTACTTGGACAAATTGCCATCTATGTACATCTATGCACATAGATTGTCATCCGCATCCCTGTCCCAGAACCTAAGGCACCTGCATACCAGATGATGGCTCTAAGGGTGGTTGGGAAAAACTGAACTTGATGTAAATTTGGGCAAGAAAAGAACCTGCATGTGGGCCTTAAACAAAAAAGCAAGGAAAAGGGGGACTATGAGTGATGACAAAGCTTACCCAAAAAGGGCTCAGCTATCAGCAGAGGCAGGCACAGTCATCTTAGCCTTTGGCTCTGAGCCTTCATCTATGGCTCTGGAGATTAGGACAGCGCTTGTTGGTGAAGCCTCAGAGGTAGTGGCACTCTCCAGAGGGAAGAAGCAACAGAAGACTCTCCTAGCTTGCCTGTGGCCAGCCTGGTGCTCTTATTCAAACAAAATCTTAGTCCCCTTATTTCCTGGTACCCAGGTGCCCTTGGGCACTGCTTTCCCTGTATCTGTATGTGGAGAGGAGTCAGGGAGCTACCCCTGCACACACACAGGTGGGACATTTCGATGAAGGCAAGACAGCAACAAGGGGAGTGAGCCTTTCCAAGAAAGAAATGGCCAGGTGAGCCTCACTTAACATGGGCAAATCTCTCTAAAACCTAGGAGAGAAGGGACCCAGCCTTGGGGCCCTGAGCCAGACTTGGGTTCTGCTCCCTTGGGGTGCCCCAAAGACAGGTGGGGCTCCAACACATTCTTGTTTGCTTACGTGAAACTCTCACAAAAATGGCTGGTAAAGCCTAGGGTGCAGTCTCTGCTTCCACCCAGCGTTTGTGCCACAGCACAACAGCAGATTCACATCTATCTCTCTCCAGCTTCAAAAGAGCCACTCTTATCATTGAAACAGTTTTGGAAATAAACTGGCCTGGCACACAGGGTCACAAATGGTCACTAGAGAAAGGAAGTGGAGGAATCTTTTCTGTGTGGGCCTTTTGTTGGTGCTTTTTGCTTTTTTTTTCTACAGAAATGACAAAGTTGTTCCTGCCTTGGGGACATGGGTGTCAGAGGCATATCTGTGGGGAGACTGCAAAAGGAGATGCCTGTTCCTCTCCCTGAGGGACTAAGGGCCATTCTAGGGACAACCTAGGCAGGAAGAGGCACAACTGGGCACTTCTGGAGCACTCTTCCTGGGAATAACAAAGCAAAGCAAGGGAGCACTGCCACTAAAGCATCAAAGGGAAGTGGCCCTAAAACTGGCAGAGGATGCCAGGCTAGGCAGGCTCAAATTTAATGGGTTGTTCTTGAGTCCCGGGAAATAGCAATACATTTTTCCAAGCAAAGTCTAACTTATGGGACCAAGTGACTAGGCAATGTGAGAAGTTTAGTTCAACAGAAACAGAAACTGAGGTAACTTTGAGAAGGGTTTAACCACGACAAAAACAAGGGGCATGTGAGGCTAGACAGGAGACTGAAGCACCCCAGGGCTGCTGTCACCAAGATTCTCTCTCAGCACATAATCTCATTGGGCAGGCAGCTACACATTTAAACCTATTTGGAGACTCTCAGAAAGGCCTGAGGCCTCACTCTTCCACATGGAGGCCATCAGCCCAGGCTGCTCTGGCTGGTTCCTCTGCAGTTTCTCCAGGTCTCATCCTTGTACAGGGGAGGATTTTGTATTCCTAGGAAAAGACCCAACTAGGTGCTAACTTGGCTCCTGTAACTGAGTGTCCCTCCTAGCCACATGTTTAGCTTGGCATCCAGTCCCACTGATGGACACAGCTAGGAGGTGGGACATGGGAGTTGAGCCCTGTGAGGGTGCTTTCCAACTATGGCAGCCTGCTCCATATGCCACGTCTGTAGCCTGCCCACTCCTCACCTCAGCAGTTTGCCTCCCAGATAGCAAGAGCCTGCCACTACAGCCAAGGCTGGAGGCACATGAGGGGCATGGCCACTCCAGGGTCATACAGGAGGGACACAGGGAAGGCAACACAAACACAAAGCTAAGAAGCCAATGCTCAGAGAGCCGGTGACCACCCCAGCAGAGGTGTGCAGAGGCTCCTGGGTAAGAGTCCATGAAAATGGGGCGGAGGGGAGAAGGTCAAAGACACACCAGGTCCCTAGGCCACAGCAAGGGCAGTGCATGGTAGGTAGTGAGGGGTGGAGGCAGGTGCATGGTTCCAAAAGATGTTAGGAGGGGCTGGTGACACCAAGTCTGGCCATTGGTCTGGTTGGGAGCTGGGCTGCCATGCATGGGCCTGGGTCTCCGTGGCCACAAGAGTACATGGAAGCCTCCACAGAGCACAGAGAACAAACAAAGTGACCCTGAATTCCTGTTTGTTATTGGTTTTGTTCTTTGTGTGACCGGGTATTCTTTTTCTTCTTTTCTTTTAAATAAAAAAGCTGCAAGATTTCCGCCGTCTGTGTTCTCCTTGAGATGGCTGGCAGGTGGTCTGGAAGCGTCCTGGGTGGCGGCCGAGCCGCGCTGGGTCAGGTGTCCTGGCAGCAAAGGGCAGCCCGGCCGCAGGCTGTGTCACTGCACAGCGGCATCTGGGTGGCTCTGGTATCGCTGCCTCCAAACCTCCTGGATCTTTCTGCACCACTTGTGAGCATTCCCGCTTGGATCCATCAGGTAATATGTCCTGTTAGGCTGTAAAAACAGAGTATCTACAGTTCTCCTGGGAGATCCAGCCACAGGCACCATGCCCACCCATCCTACCAGCCCTTGGAAAAGTCTGCGAGCACAGTGGTCTTTTTCATTCCAACATGTGCAGGAGCTAAATAGTGGGCAAGGGACCCATCCCAAACTAAAAAACAAGCACAGGATGTCTCCCAGCCCAACTCAGAACTGAGTCATTAACATGGGGCCTCTGGGACGGGAAACTGTTCTGGTCCCAGCTGCCCCTTAGCCAAAGCAAAAGATGCTTCCAACAGAGGCACCAAGGTCTCCAATGCCACTGCTAAGAAGAGTCCAAAGGGACAGACTCACCGTATGGACAAAGAAAGTTTTAAAATTCTTGGCTTCTGGTCGGAGTTCTTGTGACCACGGAATTTCACCTTTCAGGACCTTGTTGACAGGATCAACATAGTATAAGTGTGGCCCTTCTGTGAGCAACAACTGTCGTCTTCGTGCAAACAAACCCTAATATAAAAAAGAAAGAAAAAGACTCTTGTTATCATGGCTCAGGAGTGCTGACCACAGTGGTCACTGCTGCCTCAGAGGTGACTGGTCTGCAAAGTCCTTCAGTGCATACGGACCTTTCCAGCCTCCTGCCTATTCACTTAGGACATTCTCTCCTGCCTAGGACCAATTTCTTAGATCAGAGATGCATGAGCATAGGGTCCTGCTGCTGACAGCCAGCCCACTGTCCCTGGGTATTCAGTTCTTCCAAGGCACACAGCCCCGCACTTAGCAAGTCAGGCCATAGCCCACTGGTGTGGACATGCTCATTCACAGAGGCTGCACAGAGTCTGATTATTTTCTGGCACAATCTGTTTAATCCATAAACCATAATACACAACAACTCTTAAGTGCCTTGTTTTTGCGGTAATAGGAATCTAATCCAGGTATATTCTACCACTGAGCTATAGCCCCAGCCCTTTATATTTTTTGAGATGGTCTTGCTAAGTTCCCCAGGGTAGGGTTGAACTTGTGATCCTCCTGCCTCAGTCTGCTGAGTAGCTGGGATTACAGGTGTGCCACTATACCTGGCACTTCTAATGAAACATCCGACTATGCTAGGGTATCAGATATGGCCTCCTCAACATACCAGAAACCTTGAAACAGTAAGCCTGGCCTCATGCAGCAATGGGAAGCCAGGGTCCTGAGCAAGGAGAGGCTGGCTTTTCCACCTGCCCCTTGCTGCCTCCCAGTGGGGCTCCGACTGCTTCCTGAGGACCTAGGTCTTCCTAGGCCACAAAATGTGGAATTAATCTTTAAAGAGTATGCCAGGGTGAAGATGCTACATCCAACACATTGTAGCAGAAGTCCAAAAAAGGAGAGTATGCCAAGTTAGAGGCAGGAGGAAGACAGTGATTAAGATGAAGAACAGCAGGGATCCAACTCACCTTTCGCTTATCCACTGGACCCATTTTTAGTATTAAATTATTTTCTACAAACTGGTGCCTGTAAAAAAAAGAGAGAGAGAGAAGAATGAGACATTCATAGAAATTCTCTAGACTCCTCCTTCTACATGAATTCCCCAGAGACTCTGTGGACTCAGCATGAGTCAAGCTCCCTTTAAGGCCAAGAGACAACTCCAATTCCAAGTATGGAATGTTCCATTAGTATCTGGACCGGAATCTGTATCCCTGTGGTCACCTCTCAGATCGGGGCATCTACACATCAAAGGAAAAGTGGCAGGGAGAGGTGCCACAGTACCAAGAGGTAACATGTATGTCACTATCACCTCAAAAAAGCTGTGGTGAATGCATGAAGTCCTGGATTCAATGATGAGCACCTCCAAACACACAGCAAAAACAAAACAAAACTGTGCTGAGAAGTGAAGAATCCCCTGGAAAGGTACATGCTGTTAAGAGTCAACTTCAGGATAAGACTGTCATCCTTAAGTTATTTCCCACGCCAGGATCCCTGGTTCAGTGCCCAGAATCCAGAGTAATTTAGAATCATACATCCCTGAAAGACTCAAGTTGGGCTTGGCCCATGAATATCTTTTTTGCTGGGTACAATGGCACACACCTCTAATTCCAGCTACTCAGAAGGTTAAAGCAGGAGGACTGCAAGTTCAGGGTCTGCCCAGGCAACTTAGCAAGACCCTGTCTCAAAATAAAAATATAAAAAGGCACCAAGAATGGTGGTGCATGCCTGTAATCTTGGTATTCTGGAGGGTGAGGTAGGAGGATTGCTGCAAGTTTGAGGCCAGCTTCAACTGCACAGCGAGACCCTGTCTCAAAATACACACACACACATACACACCTGCCCTGAAAAATGTATACACACTTCAGGAAAAGAAAAATAGTATGTTTTTTCAACAGATGGTGTTACCCTTGTATGGGGAACCCTAGAGGATGTTGTATATTGCAGAAAACCCACTACACTGCCAGTCCTTAGAAAAGAAATTGAAAATGTATGTGCAGCAGTCTCAATGACCACAGTTACCCAAGTAGCACTTTGCCATACTAATAAATGCCTAGAAGCTAATGGCCACCACTTTGATTTTAGTATATGTGCTGCTGAATTGAGCACTAGCCACCACTTTCAGCATCTCTTACAATTGTAGAGGCCACAGGTAACTTGTAGCCAGGTGCAGTGGCATGTACCTGTAATCCTGGCACTCAGGAGGCTGAGGCAGGAGAACTGCTGTGAGTTCTAGGCCAGCCTAGGCAACATAGTGAGATCCTGTCTCAAAAAAAACTCCAAACCAAAACCAAAACCAAACCAAACAAAAAAGGTAACTTGTATTAATCTCATGATGTCTCAATAAATTTAGTATTAAAGTATTTATACAAATTTTTCTTTTCCTGAAGTGCGTATACATTTTTTTTGTGGACTCTATATATGGATGAGGCTGTGACTTAGGAGCAGTGAATTTGCCTGCAGTACTGCAAAACAAACAAAATAACTTTTCTAGGGGTGTAAAGCACATGGTTAGCATGCACTAGGCCCTAAATCCTTGGGTTAAATCCCAGCACCCAGGGAGAGAGAAATCCTTTGACATTTCTGCCATAGTAATAAAACTTTTTGTTTGTTTTTTGAGACAGGATCTCTGTATGCAGTTCAGACTTCCCTTAAACTCATGATCCTTCTGCCTCAGCCTCCTCAGTGCTGGGATTACAGGCATACACCACTATACCTGATATAACAAATATTTTTATTTAAACACAATAAGAATCTGGAAGAGAAAGTTTCAAATACAGGCTTTAATTTAATACATAATAGCAATATATATCACTTTACTTCCTAAAAGCATAAGAGATTGTCTTAATATCTATAGGTTATCTCATTTGATTAAAGCTAACAGTTACTGGTTTGTGTTGTTGTTGTTGTTTGATGATACTGGGGATTCAACCCAGGGCTTTCTCACTAAATTACATTCCTCAGCACTACCCCCGACCCCACGCCCTTCATTTTTCATTTTGAAACAGGGTCTCATAAAATACTAAAACTGCCCCAGCCAGGCTTCCATTTGTAATTCTCCTACCCCAGCCTCCTGAGCGCTGGAATTACAGGTATGGGTCACCATGCCCAGCTTTTTTGTGTGTGTGTGTGTCACTCTGAATCAAACCCAGGGCCTTCTGCGTGACAATCAAGTGCTCTATTACACTGAAATCCCTTATCTGAGGTTCTATTGTAAAAATACTATACTAAACTGTAGAAAAGGGCCTAGGATAACCATGAAAATATACCTGGACACCTCCACAAATGGCTCAGAATACTTCTTAAAAGAGCTAAACTGGTGGAACCAGTTTCTCCCACCAAGCTCCACTGGCCCCACAACTTGACTTATCCTGACCTGACCAGTCCAGCATGCAGCTGGGACCAGTGGGGCTTGTCAGGGAGGCCACTTCACCAACCGCCTGGCCTCAAGTCACAAACCAACGCAGATCATGTGGACTTTGCAAACAACTGAGATTCTCAACAAGAACAGGGCTGTGACCTTTATGAGGGAAACTGTAATATGCCTACTCTCAGAGGTATTTATGCACCAACTAACATACACAGGGCTTGAAACAAAGAAAAGAGCTAGATATTTCCAAAAGGGAGATGTAGTGAGAAGAACTTACTACAGCACGGAATGAACAAAGCACAGAGACATGTGGGTAATGCCATGGAGTCTCACAGTCCACCTAATAAACAGGCCCTGTGACATTTCAACATCAAGAATCACAGGTGAGTAACAGGAAGATTTATTAACTAAACTACTGGAGGGACAGTAAACATGGGAGACAAAGGGTAATAGCCACCCTTCTGGCACCCTGGGCAGGGAGGCCTGACAAAAAGGCAAGGACAGGGGAGGTCTCACAGTGCCACTGACTCCTTTCTTAAGACAGCAGAGAGGGAGTTTTAAATTTTAAACCAGAAAAGAGAAGCATGAGATAAAGATATGGGGAATTCCTCAAGCTATGTGATGGAGGTCATCTTTCAGGCTGAAAGCAAAAGGAGTCACTAAACACCAAGTAACAGACAGGACTCAAGGACAAGTCTAATGTCGTACTTTTCTTGTTGCTAATACAAAATACTCGACACCCAAAGTTAAAAGAGAAAAGGTTTGTGTGAGGTCCTGAGTTTGATCCCTGGTACCAAAAAAGTAAAGAAAATTTTTTTTAAAAGAGGAAAGGTTTATTTAGCTCAGTTGGTATAAGTTTCAGACCATAATCGGCTGGCTCCAAGGCAGGGTGGCACGGCAGATAGGCATTGCAGAGGAGAAAAGTTCATGGTGAGCAGAAGGTACCAAAGCAACAAGGGATGACCATGGCTTTTTCTGTTCCTTATCTTATCCAGGCTACTTAGTGCAGGTAGCACTCACATCCTTAATCCTAGAGGCCTTGATCCTAGAATTGCACCATGAGTCAATCCCAGCATCACACACTCTAGATACGGCCACCTCCAAAAAAGCCCCACCTATGACCACATGAGGCTTTAGCGGGACATCTAAACCACAAGCCATAACATCTAACCACAAAATAACTGAACTTGCAGGCCAATGGGCTAGGGAAGATTTTCAGTAAATGCCCCTATGAAGTCAGGGCCTGTACTCACGGGGCCAACACCATGGCCCCGGCAGAAAGGTGAACAGAGCATCCAACTGGAAATTTCCAAAAGGAACTGAGCAACACAAAAACATTCTGAATGGCCCTAAACAAAGGAAGGAAACCAAGTTCCCTCCCACCACTCCCTGGGTGCCACAGTGTCCTCAGCACCTCTGGCCAGGAAAGAAGGCTTGCTGCAAAAGCAGTGTGGAAGGTATGTGGAGAAGGGGACAACCTTTCAGAAACCTGTCCAAAGGGAGAAAAGAAAGAAGATGAGGAGGATAGAACAATCACAGTGGTCCAAAGAGAAAGTGAAGCCCCTAGTTGGGTGAGAGGCACCAAGGGGAGGAGCAAGCCCTTTCCTTGCCCCTACAGTGACCATCACAGCCCCTGACTCTCCCAGCTGTTCCCAGGGGTGAGAACAATCACTCAGTTACATGTCAGGAGACAGACCACAAAGCAGATGGACAGAGGCCGACTATGTTTAACTATAGACCACTCAACCAACCAACTAGCTTACAACAGGCTACTGTATATTTATATACATGGAGAAGTTACTTGAAGTAGTTCAAGGAATTATTTCAACTTAACTTCAGAGTCAATTCCAACCCATGAAGAATCCCACCCCCATCTTTAGCCCATAGCCTTCCTCCCTGGCAGGTTGTAGGTGTCATCTAAATACTCAGCCAGCCATGCATAATGTCATGTCCTTATGGTCCCAACTACAGGAGAGGCTGAAGCATGAGAATCTTTGAATGCAGGAGTTTGAGACCTGCATGGAGAAAACATAGTGAGACTGCTAGCTAAAAAAAAAAAAGCCAAAGCCAAACCTGAATCAGATACACACCTTTTTATTTTTTTTGCAATGCTAGGGATTGAACTCAGGGCTTCCCATATGTTACATCCTTGGCTCTTTCTATTTTGGGTCTCAAAGTTGCCCAGGCTGGCCTCAAATTTGTGATCCTCCCGTCTCAGCCTCACAAATAGCTAGAATTGCAGGCAGGCACAACTCCTGGCAGAAACACACCGAACTGTTTAGAGTATAGACAGCCTCACTTTCACACAGAGCATCTGGCTCCCTTAAATCAGGACATCTCACCAATGACATTTCTCATCATTGTCACACAGATAGGGGTGCAGGGGCTGAGGACCCACGACTTAGGCACAGTCACTTCCTCATAAAGAATGACATGTAAAATGCCACTTTTGTCAGATTCCAAAGCCAGGGCTCTCTCCTCTTATCCTATTGTATTCCACACCAATCCCAAGAAGATCACCTTGAAGGACCCAACCTGGATGCCCTCAGCACCGCTTGGCTATCTCAGCCCACACCCAGGGAGAGCACACTGGGCTATGGAGCTGGGACTGGCTCTTGGACAGCCAGGAAGGCTCTCCAGATCTGGTTTTGTGCTGGTA